AGACAGCAATCACCTTGAATATCCACTTAAATTGAAAATAACTCTTCTATTGCATCACTCACTCACTCATTGCTGTCAAGTTGAAACAGCCTCATAGTGACCTTCTGGCAGGTTACCAGGGCTGTAAATTGTATGGGAGAAACTGGCCCATTGATGTATTTGGACCACCCGAGAGGTGTCTTTGGCTTGGCAGTGCAACTACCTATGGATGAGGCCATCAAAGCTCCTTTGTTCTACTGCTAGTTAAAATTTTATTTGGATACAATTTTTAATGACAAATTTATATTATAATAGAGGGGAAAAAATCTGAATTAGATTAAAGGGAGAAATCCACCTAGTATCTTCGAGAAAGAATTTACCTGATTGAATTCAACTACTATTTTTTAAATGGAACACCTAGCACATTGTGGAGAGATAGATACAATTTCAAAGAAACACTTAAATAATGACTTCCTAAATATCAGGTTTATTTATCATGTTCTCTCATGGAGTTGTTTTTAGGTGCCATTGAGTCAAGCACAATTCATAGCAACCCTTTGAATAACACACCTGAATCTCAGACCTGTGCTATGCCATCCTCATTATCTTTGATACATTTGAGTCCATTGTTGCAGTCCCTGTGTCAATCTATCTCCATGGGAGGTCTTCCTCTCTTTTGCTAACCTGTCATCTTCCTAGGTATAATATCCTTTCCCAAGCCTCTTGTAGCAACATGTCCAAAGTATGAAAGGTGAAGCTTTCCCATCCTTGCCTGCAAGGAGCACTCTGGCTGCACCTTTCCAAGATAATATGTGTTCTTTTGGCAGTCCATGAGATATTCAGTACTCTTCTTCAACACTGTAACTCAAAGATGTCAGTACTCCTGTCGTCCTTCTTCATCATCCAGCTCTCAGATGCACAGCAAGTCATTGAAAAGACCATTATCTGAATCAAATGCACCTTAGTCTTCGAACTGAGATCCCTGACAGCAGACTGTTCAAAGCAATATATCTTTTCTCCTGACTGCTGGTACCGAGGGTGTTGGTTGTGGATCCAAGTGAGACAAATCATTAATAGTTTCAACCTTTTTCCATACATCGTGATGTTGCCCACTGGCCCAGTAGTAAAAGGGCCTTAGTCTTCTTGGTGTTAAAATATGATTGATATTGGAGGCGTAACTCTTTGAACCATGTCAGATCCAATAAATAGTAAGTTATTATTACTTGTATTACAAATTCCAGTGGTTTAAAAATATTTTTGAAGTGTTTTTCATATCTGGCCACTAACCCTTTTTCTGCACTTGTAAACAAAGAGCTACTTGGAACTCTGAAGGAACAGATTAGTAAACTTTTTCTCAAATTTACCTGAAATAAATGGATGTTTGTACAATTGCCAGATCTTGAGACTGCATCACAACTGTAGAAATCTATCGGAATCAATAATGGAAATGCTAACAAAATATTTCTGAAGATCATCCAAAAATGGCTAGAACAATACATTGACAGGAAGTTCAGGCAAGCTTTAGCAGAAGTCATGGCACCAGGGAGATCAATGCTGATGCCAGATTGAAACAGGGTCAAAGTAGAGACTACTGGAAGAATATGTATCTGTGTTTTATTTACTACACAAAGGCATTGGATTTTGTGGATCATAAGAAACTGACTAACCTTGAAGAATAGAAAGCTCAGAACACTTAAATATGCTCATGTGAAACCTATACCTTCATGACAGAATAACTAATGACATTGACTTATCCCATGGACTGCCAAAAGAACAGATATGTCCTTGAAAAAGTGCAGCCAGAGTGCTCCTTGGAGGCAAAGATAAGGCTTTGTCTCACATACTTTGGACATGTTGTTAGGAGAGGCTATTCCTTGGAAAGGGACATCATGCTTGGGAAGATGAAGCTTCAGTGCAAGAGAAGAAAACCCCCAATGAGACAGATCGACTGCATCAGTGGGCTCAAATAGGTCAGAGGTGATGAGGATGGCACTGGATAGGGCAGGGTTCAGGCCTGTTGTTCATAAGGTCATGAGTTGTACTCAATAGCACCTATAAACAACAACAACTATGACTGAATCAGAAATCTATAAAAGAGTAAAAATGCTGGATGCCAGATTCCTAGAAAAGGAGTACTATGCATTCAACCACCTTTTGACATGAAATGTTTTCATGATACATTGCTAAGGGAGAATATTGTAGAGTTTTGGTGTTGAGGTTTGTAGCATGTTGTGCTGCTAACCAAAGGCTGTGTGTTTCTGGCAGTTCAATTTCATCAGCAGCTGTCTAGATCTACTTCTTGCTGGAAAGGTGTGCATTCTCTTCTTGTTAAGATTTACAGTCTCAGGAGCCCAATGAAGGGTTACTGAGAGTCAGAAGGAGCTTGATGGCAATGAGTGAGTGAATGATGGTTAATTGAGCATGTTTTGTTGTTGTGTACCGTACAATTGAAACTGACTCATAGCTGACCTGCTGGCGGGTTTTTAGAGGCCGTTAATTGCACAGGAGGAGATCATCCTACTCCTGGAGCAGCTAGTGGCCTGTGAACAGCGTGTCACCGGGATTGCAGCGCAGCTTCTTGCCACCAGGCCAACAGAGCTTCCTGTAGCGTGTATTAGAGAAAATGAGTATTCTCTAAATATGCTAAATATACATACATAGAAAAAGACCTAGAATACTATTTACCAAATTGTTTGCGGAAGTGCTTAGTGGTGAGATTATAGATGACTTATTTTTGCTTGTTGTTTACTAATTTCTTCTGCCATGAACCTGTGCTACATTTCCAGTTAATGTGATTTGTATTCCTAGATTTTCTGTTGCATGTGGGGTTTTTTTAAAATATTTTGTGTAATGGAATGTTTTCTCCAGTTGCTAGTTATAGAATACATGCTATCAGTTGTTTGGCTTTCATAATGATAGACTTGCATAATAAGCTCTGCTTGTTTTGACTAGTAGCTCATTTTTTCAGATAGTTTGTGAGTAGTTGATTATCACAGAGCTAAGCTGTAGCATTGAACTCATCAACTATATTTTAATCAGCTGGATTCATTAATTTTCTGAATGACATTTGTTATTCCAATTACATTTATTTCTCACAACAAATAATAACAACAAAACATAAGACAAAACAAAAAATTCCAGCTTGTGAAGGGGTAGCATATTACATAATGTATTTTCATCTAAATGAGTTACTGAAAATCGTATCGGAATGTAGAATAGGCACAAGTACCTAATTTAATTACATTACTTCTTGTATAGTCAGAAAAGCTCACAGAGGTTAGTCTGCTATTGTAATTATTGTTGTTGTTTGCTGTCAAGTTGTAACCGACTCAGAGCTGACCGCCCAATGGATTTTCATAGGCAGTAATCACATGGGAGAAGATTGTTCATCATTGTCCCATAGAGCAGCTGGTGGATTCTAATCACTTTGTGATTGCAGTGCAGGTTCTTACCATGAAGCCACCAGAGCTGTTGTTATTAGCTGCCATCAAGTCAAGGATGACTCAGGACAAAACCTAGCCAAGCCTGTGCTGTCCTCTCATTCTCAGCAACGGTCAACCCCATTGTTGCAGTCACTGTGTCAATTCATCTGATCCTTTTTCTATTTTGCTGACCCTTTGTCTAGCTTTGTGTATTTTCCAAAAGATTAGTATTTCCTGACATCATGCCTGAAAAATGTGAAATGCAGCTTCATCATTCTTGTCCCTAAAGGAGCGCCCAGGACATCTTCAGGACAGATTTGTTTCTTTATTTGGCAGTCTGTGATATGTTCCATACTCTCTTCTCCAGCACTATAATTTAAAGACCTCAGTTCTTCTTAGGTCTTCCTTATTGTCTAACTTTCATATACACACTAAGCAATTGAAAATATCATGGCTTGGATCAATCACACTTGAGCTGTTAAACTGTCATCCTTGTTCTTTAGTATTGTATAGAAGTCTTTGACAGCATATTTGCCCAAAACAACATGGCTTTTGATTTCTTGACTGCTGCTCTTATGTGTGTTGATTGTGGATCCAAGTAAAGTGAAATCATACCTTAATTTCATTTTCTGACTAATATAGTCATTTATGTTGGCCTCCCCCCCAAAAAAAAAAAGAGAGAGAGAAATTTTATATTTGAGCCAGATAAAAACAAACATTCTATTTTAGGTTGTTGTTGTTAGGTGCCATCGAGTCCAGTATGACCCACTGCATGCTTACTTTGGGTGGTGGTGATTGTTGTTACATACCACTGAGTTGCCTATGACTCATAGTGATCCTATGTATAACAACTTTGACCGCTGCCCTACCCTGAGCCAGTTTCAGTGACTCTTAAACACCTAATCCCCTTGCCCAGGTTATCGTTTCAATCCATTTCATCTGGAGTGTTTCTCTCCTGTGCTGTCTCTCCCTCCACCCTTCCAAGCGTGATGTCCTTCTCCAAGGACTGATCCCTTCTGGCCCTGTGCCTAATGTATGTGAGATCGAGCTTCAAAATCTTTGCGTCTGAGAAGCAGCCTGGTTCCACCCTCTCCAAGACAAACCATTTGTTCCCCTTGCAGTCCATGTTATGTTCACTACTCTTTAGGTAGTAGTAGCTAAATTAATCAGAAAGTTCTGAAACTGTGAAAAAAAAACATTGATAGTTTTTATATGCTTAATTCAATAATTATTGGTATACTGGTAACATGCATGGATTGCTTATTATTCTTGTTCTTCCAACTATTCTCTCAGGATGAATCAATTTTAATTAGTTTAAATTTAAAACTTTAAGTTTAGAGTGAGGGGAGAGAGTGAAGAACAGAGATGCTGATGCTGACAGGGAAGGCTCTGAGTTAAGACAGAAGGGATGAGGGGATGATGCTAGTAATCAGTCCCTTAACCAGAGGGTCGTGGGGAAAGAAGGTGTCCCATTGATAACTGAGTCATCTACCCTCCAAATCTTTATGAATGCCATGTAAGATTAACAAATATTTATTAAATATTCCTTCCCCCAAATATGATGATTATAATGATTTTTTTTCCTTTTTACATTTTCAGATTAATCGAGCCCCAAGCTTTGGAACTGATCAGAAAATAGATTATGATGTAAAAAGAGGAGTGCTGCTAAATGCACTGAAGTTACTAAACATCAGGTAAAGCATTTTCTCTTTTTTAGATTCCATCTTTAACATAGAAGAAACATTTGTAGACAAAACTGGCTTGTGATTTTTTTATTTTGTATTTTGAAGGAATTTATGGATTCTTTAAACTCATTTGATTGCTCTTGTCTTCCTTTCTTTCTTTCTTTCTTTTCCTTCTTTCTTGCTCCTTTCTTTCTTTTCAAAAATCATCTCATTTCCTCTCACAAATTGCTTTTCCTGTCTCCATATAATGCTCTCTGCCACAAGCTTAACTTGCAGTCATTTACCAGTGGAGATTTGTATGTTGTTATGATACTGAAAAGGTTTCAGTGGTTCAAGACTAAGATTAACTAGCAAGAAAGGTCTGACAAACTACTTAAAAAATTCAACCATTGAAAATACTATGTTGCATTAAAAACAAAGAACTCATGCAATACTACACAAAATGTGTGACCCTGGAGGACATTATGCTGAATGAAATATCTCAGTCACAAAAGCACAAATACATCATAGTGCCACTGTTGTAAAATGGGACTGACATCGGGGTTGGGGGGAACCTAAGAAAAGAGGGGATAAATAATATATACTGCATTGAAACAGGTGAGGAAGAGAACTGTTTAAATGGAATATAAGATTAGGTATTATTTTCATGACAAGATTCTAGAAAAATAAATGCATTGTAAAGTGGACTGTGAACATTTTGGGATGGAGGGGTATGGAATTATATAACAATGAAGCAATTTTTTTTCTTTTCAAAGAATAAAACAAACTGGGGGGAGTGGTGGGCAGAGAGGAAAATGTGCAACATAAATGATTGAAGAAAAATTAAATGGAAAGAATATGGTGTAAAAAATATATGTTGCATTAAAAAAGAATTAATAAAAAAAGATTAAAAAAATTCAGCCATTGAAAATCCTTTGGATCACAAGAGTGTATGCTGTGAAAACTCGTGGGGGCAATGATGTCCACTTGGGCAGTGTTTTATTCTGTTTTGCATGAGCTTGTATAGGAGTTGGGGACTGTCAGGCAACTAACAATAACAGCCTATAAATATGACTAAATTACAGTGTTGCTTTAATTGTTTAATAAAGTACAAGTTTGAATTGGAAAATTTCTTCAACTCTTTGAATGAGTTAAATTTCTTAACTCATTCGATTGAGTTAGAAGTTTTCTGTGAAATGATCATTAAAAGAAAGATAAGCTGATATGTTTAAAATTTTTCATATGAACTTATTTTACCTGACCAAAGGCTGGATTGTCTAAATTCTTCTTATATTTCAAATATTCTAGTCAGCAAAAAAGAAAGAGAAGTAAAATTAGAGTTTCCTTTTGTGGAATTTATACAAGCACATTGCTATTTTAGATTATTTAAGTGATAGGCCTTTTTGTCTAAAATATTTTTTTTAAATAGATCTTGTATTTATTGATTTGTTGTTATTTTTATATCCTTTGATTTCGCTTGTTGTACCAATTTGTGACATTGCTCTACATTTTTAATCTTTTAAATGAAATTTATGTAGTTTAAATAGTAAAAAATATCCATATGATCGAGGATGTATTAAAAGAAGATGGTAAGAGTATACAGAGTCACTTTACTGAAAGAAATTGGTATACACAGAAGAATTTCATGAAACAACGTATGAGCAAGAGTCTATGGTGATGAAGGAAGAAGTTCAAGCTGCTTTGAAGGAATTGGTAAAAAAATAAGGCTCCAGGAATTGATGGTATACCAACTGGAATATTTAACTAAGAGGTGCTCCTCTAGATGTGCTCACCAAGTTGTGTCAAGAAA